CCCCCGTCCCAGGCTTGCTGTGTCTCTCTGCCCCCACCCTCCCTCCCTCCACCTCTTTTCTGTGTGTCTGGTTTCTCCGCTTCCTTTCCTCCCCTTGGGTTTCCAGAGTCGGTGGGAGAAGGGCGGGCGCGCGGGGCCGGGTGGCCCAGCGCGGGGGGCGGGGCGGGGCAGTGGGCGTTGCCCCGAGCGCCGACTCCGCCCACCGGGGGGAGGCGCTTGCCTGGTGCCGCCCAGGGGAGGGGCTCGGGCCGCCGAAGGCCTGTTCTGTAGTGTGCCGCCGGGCGACGTGCATTGATGGGCAAGCTGCTGGAGGAGCAGGGGTGGGGGGGGCGGGGGGGAGGGGAAAGGCAAATGCAGATATATATTAAAGACAAATAATCTAGATACCGCGAGCAGCAGCCTGTGGCACCCGTTGGGCGCGGGCACCAGGGAAGAGAGAGAGAGCGAGGCATTGCCCGCTGACTGCTGGGGTCACTTCTCTAACCACGGGCTCCCTGCTCCCCCAGTTTTTTTTCTCTCTTTGTTAACAAATGTGTCTGAGTCTTGGAAAACACCCCAACCCCGGAAATGTGTGGGAAAAGAAAACAAAAACTTTCCAAATCCAACGGTCCTGTGCAGTTTTTTCGGGGTGGGAGCTGTTGGGACATCGGTCCTGGCTCTGGCCCGGGGTTTGGGCCCAAACTGCGGCCTATGAGAGCTGGTAAGTCGCCTCCAAAGATTTGGGCCGGGCATGGCTTTGGGCTCATGGTGGTGGTGGTTGGGGAGAGGGGCGACTTGTCTTTGTGTCACCCCCGTGTCCCTCCTGACCTGTGGATCGGGCCAGGTAGCAGCTGGTCTGTAGCCGGGGCTGAGCCCACCCTCCTGAGCTTCTCTGGTGGTGAGCTAATCACCAGAGGGCAAGGGCATCATGTTGCCCCCTAGTGGCCAAATCGGACCTACGCCTCTGGGGGCTGCTGGGGTACGGGTGTTGCTCCAGCCCTTGGGGAAGGTGGTATTCCTGGGTGGCAAGGGCTTCAGGGGCTGAGTGCACATTTCCCCCCAGTTCTGCCTAACTCCAGGGTCTCCGCTTTTTCTGCATCTCCAGGGATTTGGAACCTACCCTCTGCCGCCCCACCTGCCCACCCCCTCCCCCGCCCCCATCTACACTGCCTGCTGGCTGACTGTGCGCAGCTCCTGCAGCTGCAGATGGAAGTAGAGCCTCATCCTAGGGTGTTTGCTCCTTCCTGGTGACACTGAACAGACCCACGGTCCCAAACACGCAGAGAGATGGGTCTGTAATTGAAACTCTTAGGTGAGGGTTGTAGGCGAGGACACGGATGTGCTGTCATTCTCAGGAGGGCGGAGCGTGGGCAGCCTTCCTCTCCCAGGTGGCAGTTGTGGGTCGCCATAGCGCTGGACACGGGAGCCACTCAGTCCTGCTTCTGTCACTCCGGTCTCCTCCACTTTCTGCTCGGAGGATCTTGCCCCCCTCTCTGGGCTCTGCTTTCTCGTGCCCTTGGCTCGCCCTCACTCTTCACCAGTTGAAGCTGCTTTGAGAGCTTCCGTCCACAGGTGGCCAGCCCGTTCTTGCAGCATTTTCCAGTTCGCAAGCCCAGTCCATGTTTAGGCCTGGACATCCCCCAGGTCTTTGGGCTTGAGGTCTACAGGAGCCCCACCTCCCCGGCCTTCCTTCCATCCTGAGATGAAGCTTTTTCCCTGTCCGGATCCTCCTTACCCTCGGGCATTCCCCCAGGGCTCTTTGGGAGACCTTCCCCAGGGTCCTATCAGTGGCGGAGCTCGGGTTCTCCAGTAGCTGCCCCCCGCTGTGATTTCCATAGACCAGGCCTCTCCTCATCCACCTCGGGGGAGGCAGGGGCTCTGCTTCTCTGCCCGGCTGCTCACAGCCTTGGAGCCTGAGGTCAGCTGTAGCCCCCTGTGGAAGCCTGGCAGAGGCCCTGACTTGGGGCCGTCTTGCCAGGACATCCTGTCCCTGCACTGGCCGTGACCTTCGCCCCCGCGTCTTCTGCTGCTGTTCTGCCTGTTCAAGGGATAGAAATTTATCTCAGGCTCCCTTGCCCCATCATCACGGGCCAAAGAAAACAAATAAAGGCAGGCAGGAGTTCCTTGGTGTCAACAAGGGAACTTCTTATTTCAGAAGTTTCTAGAATGGCCCTGAACAGCTTGTCAGAATAGGGGGCCAGAAAGAGGGACAGTGCAGGAGTTGGAAGGATGGGCCCCAGTCCTGCTCATTGCCATGGGGCTGTAGGACTGGGTGTTTTCCTCTCTGTGCAAATAGACTAATGGCTCTTGTCACTCAAGGGTTGGTTGTAAGAGGAAAGATCCCTGCAATCTACCATTGACTCAGTTTACCCATCTGTAAGATATGGCCAGTTCAGTCTCAGCTCCTTCATCTGGGCATCTGATACTGAAGTTAACACCTAGGCCTGAGCTGAGGTGCTTTGGGGTCTGGCTGGCCTGACATTGACCTCAGGAGTGTCCAAACAGCATCTGGAGGTGACTGAAATTCCAGAAACCTCTCTCCTTGACAGCTGGTACTTGCAGGGATGTGCCAGGAGATTCCAACTGGGGAGGAGCAAAGACTGAGTTAGAAAAGAAGCTTAAAGAGGAGTCTAGCTGATACCTTTGACCTTGAAGACCTACCCTACCACCCTTGAGATCCCCGTGGAGGGAACACAAGGTCAGCTGGTGCTGGCGCTCTTTTGGGAGGACATCCCTTTCCTGGAGGCGGATATGGAGGCAAAGGAACCTGCGCCGCCCTCCCCACTCACCCTTCTGGGAGAGCTGCAGGCCCGGCTGGAGACAGGAGGATGGCCAAAGTGGGTCTGGAGCCACGTTACTGTCCCCGCTGCCGGGGCCTCTACCGCCACGGGGCGAATGAGACTGTGCAGGTGGTTGTTGACCTCTTCCTTCCCACGCCCGTTTTCCGGGGCCCTTCCCTTGCAGGCGTCCCTGCAGCCTCTGGGGGCACGCGCTCCCTGTGGTGAGCAGCCAAAGAGGGGCGTCCCCAGTGAAGACCTGTCGCTTGAGTGGGGTGCCTGTCTGGAAAGCAGGCCTGAGACCGCTGTGAGGGGAGACCCCTCTCCCCTTGCAGGGCACCCACTCTGCCCCATGGGAATGACACTCACCCCCAGCTGCCCCAGAGGGGCAGGGCCCTGGACCCTCCCAGTTCCGGGTCCTGTCGAGTGAGGGGAGACATGGAAGCAGAGAGGCCCCAGGTCCTAGAAGACTGTGACCACCTGCAAGGGCCAGGAGCAAGGCTGCCCTGAACGTGGGCAGAGGGACAGCTCTGACCACTTGGCGAACTGGATGATACTGAACTGAACTGGTGGCGGCAGAGGAGCCATCTCTCACCAGCCTTCCATTCTCTCTTCTGGAAACTTCTGGACACCAGGGGGCCTCAAGAATGCTGAACAAGGGTAAGGAAGTAGCTGGAGCTCAGCTGGGCAGCAGGCAGACAGGTTGGGAAGTTCAGGACGGGCTGGGACAAGCTTGCCTTTGGGCATCTTAACAAACATGATCCCCACCCCTGTCCCTTTTGTCCGTGTGTGTGGACGGGGGTGGGAGGGGGGTCTTCACTGAGGGGTGGCCAAGGCAGAGGGCTGAGAGACACTATCCCCCCTGCTAAGAGGCCTGGGACTACCGCTGATAAGACCAGACCAGTGAGCGCTTCCATCTGATGTGTGTGCACGCACGTGCGCACTCGTGTGTGTGTGTGTGTGTGTGTGTGTGTGTGTGTGTGTGTGTGGTGTGAAGGGGCACGGCCCTTTGCTGGGGTGCCAGGCAGCAGAGACACAGGCACAGGTCAAGCAGAGACCACCTGAGCTCAGCTCTGGGGTGACTCAGCAGGTGAGCAGTCGATGGGGACCCGGATGGGCAGCAAAGGGCTTCTGCCTGTGCCCACATTTGCATTAGCAGGGATAGAGGAACTCGGGCATCCATCCCTTTCCATCTGAGCCCTTGTACTGGGTTTTTCTGTACGTGGTGCCAGTGGGCTCTGCAGGGTCCTGGCTGGTTCTGAGAGGGAGGCCTCTGCCTTGAGGAGCATCCCTGGGTGCCCAGGTTTCGAGGCCTAAGGGCAGGCGGGGGGCGTTGTGGCCAGGGCTGGGCTTTGGAGACGGGGGCCCGGCTCTTGATTCTGTCCCTCCTGGCTGCACATCACGGGCAATTAGTTTCTCCAAGCTTTACTTTCCCATCTTTAAAACGGGGCATCTTCCTTGAAGGAAAAGACGAGCTAATGCCGTGAGATGCCCAGGACGGTGCCCCGCCCACAACACAGGCTGGAAAAGGGCAGATACTCTGGCCCGGGAAAAGGCTGGCCCCCAGAGGCGCTCCCCTGCACTCTCCTCTGCCCCTCCCCCGCCTGTGGCTCCTCACTGGAGTCCGAGGGGCAGGAGGGGCAGTCGTTTGATCCTTTATTCACTCTTTTGTCGCCCTTGCCAATGCCCCTCCTGCCAGGCCTTGTGTCGGGGCTGGGTCAGGGGGCCAGGGGGCCACTCCAACTCTCTGAGAACTCATAGCTGGCAGGTGGGAGACAAGCGCGTGTCTGTGGGTAAGGGTTTCTCTGTGGCCTCAGACTGGGCCCCTGGAAGGAGGCCATTGCCCTGAGTCTGGGAGGCTAAAGGGGAGTTTGGGAGGCAGAGAAGGGGTGGGGCAGGATGGGTCCTGTGGCTGGAGTGTGCAGAGCTCCCTTTTGGGTACAACTGAGGAGCTGAGACTTGTGCGGAGCTCTCAGGGTAATGCAATGAGTCTGGGAAGTTTTGACCATGGATGATGGTGGCCTCCAAGCTCGGCAGAGGGAGGGGGGGCGGGGGGGCAGTGGACAGCTGGGGGAGGGGAGCACGGGGTGGACAGGTTCCTTCTGGTCCTTGCTCCTTTCCAAAGTCACCAGGGAGGGTCCCATGAGGGTGCCCGGAGGCAGCCTCCAGCCAGTCAGACCATCCTCTGCCCTTCCTGTGTTGAAGGTGCAGAGAGGGGCGGGCCTCAGCTGCAGGAGCCGCCCCGGACCCTCTGGTGATCGTGGCCTTGGCCGTTCTGCCTTCTCTGAAGGAGAGAGGGTGCTGCTCCCAACGTTTCATTGCAGAATTCCTGGGAGCTTAAAAGTGTGTGGATTTCAGGACCGTGTGCCCCGGGGGTCTGTGTGTCGCTTTCTTCACTGCCCTGTTCAGACGTGAAAGACAAGAGGGGTGTGGCTTGTGGGTACAGAGTGACCTCTGACCCATGAACTGTCTCCCCTCCCTGAGGACTCTGGAAGTACTGCTGCCCTGCTCTTGGGGACCCAGGAATGAGCTCCCTGGGCACGTGGCGGGAGTGAGGGGCAGTGACAGCCCTGCCAGCCATCCAGGGGCTTTTGTGGTAGATTTTGGGGCCTGTGGGGCCCCCCAGCAATGCCCGTCACACCCTTGGCCCTCCTCCTTACAAAGGACTACACTCTCCCTTCCCCTGGACTCCTTTTAGGGTGGCTCTTTTAAGGTGACTCCTTTTAAGCTATTTGGGAGAGCAGGAGACGAAGTCCACACTGTCATCCAGGAGCCCCAGCCCTCGGTCTCCACTCCTCCCCAAGATGTACTGTGTGACTCTGAGCCAATCCTGTCCCTTTGTGTGCCTCTGCTTCTCTCTCTGCCCGGTGAAGGGTGGGTGGATGGACAGGGTGGTCCCCGGGCCGAGGCCACTCACTGGTTCTGCACATCTTGAATGGTGTCGGGCAGCGGCAGGCTCCCTGTCTCCGGCAGCAGCAGCGCAGCCAGCCCGCTCAGCACCGGCACCGCCCCGTAGACCAGCAGGGGCAGCGAGCGGCCGTAGGCACCCAGCAGCCGGACTAGGGGCCCCAGGATAGCTCCTGCGCGGGCTGCCATCTGGCCCAGGCCCACCGCTGTCATCCTGTAGTCGCAGACGCACCCGTGAGGGGCTCCTAGCCCGGCCCACCCCCACTCTGTCCCGGGAACCACAGTGGTCCAGGCTGGGCCGGATGGCACCTGCTCAGCCCTGAGACCGCATAGGAGGGAGACAGCGGCGGGAACATCCGAGGCTGTTGAAGGCACACCCCCACCCTGCTCTCGCAGCCCAAGGCGACCCCTTCTTTGGGCCAAGGAGTAGCCTCACCTGAGCACGGTGGGGAAGAGCTCACCAGTGTAGATGCTGACGCAGGTGAAGGCGGCCCCCAGCCCCGAGAGCCCTAGCACGGCCAGGGCTGAACGCAGGGCCCCCATATCTGTGGACAGAGAAGGGGTTAGCGAGGTTGGTGGCTGGGCCTCCGAGGTCAGATGGAGGCTCTCTCCAAGCCAGACTTCTCTCTGACCTCCCAAATGTCTGTGACTGACCTCCATCTGGGTGTCCCCAGAACACACACACATGCTATGTCCTAGGCGACATTGTGGTTACATTCACTGTCCCTCAAACAGCTGCCTAACCCTGAGCCAGACCCTGGGAGTCCTTCTTGACCCCCTGCTCCCTCCGCTCCCCCTGCATTCCAGCCCGGAGTCCTTCTTTTATCTCCGCAGTCTCTCGTGATGCCACCCCCTCCACACCATCCCCGTTCCTGCTGCCTGGCGCGGGCTGTCACCATCTGTCCCAGATGCCCCAGCAGCCTCCTTCCCCCCCCCCCCCCCCCCCCACCCCCTGGGCCCCTGCTCTAGAGCAGCACCCTCTGAGGAGGGGGCAGGGGCTGGCTCCCTGGCTCAGCACCCCGAGGTAGGGAAGCCTCTAGCCACAGCCGAGGGCACGCAGCCCCGCCCCACTCACCCTGGGGCACCAGCGTGTTGGTTAGGATGCAGAGCCCGGCCAGCACCAGGGACGCCGCCTGAGTGGGCCTGCGGCCCAGACGGCTCAGCAGCAGCAGGGTGCCGATCTTGGCCGGGATGTCCACGACCCCAATGAGGACCTGGAGCAGAAAAATGTCGCTGCCCAGGGTCTGCAGGTCCAGGGCCAGGCCGTAGAAGGTGAAGCCGAAGGCGAACCTGCGGGCGTGGCAGGTGGGGTCAGGCTGGGGCGTGGGCTGCTGCTTTGCCTGTCTGTCCTCAGACCCGCCGCCGCCTCCCCCTGCAGGCTCTGTATAGTGGAGGATGGTCTCTGTACACTACCTTTCCCAAGGCTTCCCCCCACCCCGGCCAGTGCCGCCTCACTAGGTTTGGCCAATGGGAGGCACTGGTGAGGGGCTGGGGATGGGGGAGGCCAGGGTTTTCCTCCCTCCCTCCCTCCGTCCCTCTGGGCGCCCTGTCTGGCGGCGGGTCTGTCTCTTTCAGTCCTTGCCGGGCGACACTGGCTCCAAGGCCTGATACTCCTGGGCTGGGTGTGCCTTCTCGCCTTGCTCATTCTCTGTCGGCCCCCTCAGGCTGCTGGGCCCCCTCCCTCTGCCAGCGCCTTTGCTGTGACTCCTCCTCCTTGGGAAGGGGGGGGGGGGTCTCTGCTGTCCCATCTCTCTCCTTCTGGAGCCTGACTGCTAGCGGGGCTCGGGGGCCGCAGGCCGTTTCCTGAAGGTGGGGGCAGGAGGGGAGTCCGTAGAGGTCCCCTAACTGGATGCCAGCCAGAGCCTCCCTCTGGGCTTCCCAGGTGCCTGAGGCAGAGGCTGGGGCCCCGGGCGGGTTGGGGGGTGCTCTCTACCAGCACAGAGTGGAGACACAGGTCCGGAGGCCCAAGCCGGGTGTGCAAAGCAGGGCACCCGGGCTGGCAGTCGCCTGGCCCGCACTCAGCTCCTCTTGCATGGCTGAGACCAAGACCTGCAGGGGCGAGGCAGGGTGGGTGGAAGAGTCACTGTCAGCATCGGGAGCACTGGGCAGGTCCTCCTCCCTAAGACCCTCACCGCTCCCCTCCCCCAGGGGCCTGTGCAGGGGCGAGGGAGAGAGTCTGAGGGCTGAGCCCTGGAGGAAGGTCCCGCCTCACCTCTGTAGTCAATGTGTCCCGCACCGCCCTCTTCCCGTTGATGGCAGCCACCTTCTGTAGCTCCCGCAGGCCCCGCTCCAGCTTGCCGGTGATGAGGAGCCAGCGTGCAGACTCTGCCAGCCACCTGCGGGGGGTCAAGGGCGGAGAATGGGCGGGGGTACTGCCTGTGGAGCCCTACCACTCTCCCACCTCCCTGTGCCAGGGGTGCGTGGCCTCACTGGTGCCCAGAGGCCCGGGGCTCAGGGAGGCCGCGCCACGTGACGCCCTCCTTCCCCTGCAGACCACCTTTTCTGCCTTTTTCCTTCTCTTTCTGAGATTGGGGTTGGGAGTCTGCATCCGTCCCTTCCTGCCTCCCTCCCGACCCCGTGGCCCTTCCCTTCCCCCACCTAGGAAGTAGGCCTGGGTGCCTGGTAAGGACTGTGGTCCTGGCAGCCCACCACAAGCCGCAAGCCTGCTGGGGTCCCCCACCTCCCCCCAGGGAGGCCCGGCACCTCCCTGATTTCACAGTTGTGGCCTTCCTGTGCACCCCGAGGCTGCACCTTCCTGCCTGAGCTCCCTCCTCCCCACATGAGCTTCACACATGCCTGGGGGGGCTCAGGCCCAGAGCAGGGTCTTTGGTCCAGACATCCCCCGCCCCCCCTCCACCTGCACCCAGGCAGCTGCCAACTCCTGTCACCACCAGCACTCTTCGCACGTGACCAACCCCCTGCCCTTGTCTCCCTGTGGCCCCATCGCCCACGCCAGGATAACATTTGCCGCTTCCTGGATGCCAGCCAGCCTCACGCCTCCCAGCCCCACACCCCCATGCCGGGACCCAGCCCCTAACGCTAAACCTTACACCCACAGCCCTTGACATCAGCCCAGACCCCTTGCACCAGCCCATCCCACTGAGGACCCTGTCATGCCCCCCACTCCACCCTGGCTCCTGCCTCCAGGCCTCTGCTCAGGCAGGGCCCCCCAGCCAGGCAAGCTTTCCCCTGGGAGCGGCAGCCAGACTTGGGGTCCCCTGCTCCACATGCACGGGGCCCCGAGGTCCTCGGGAGGCAGAACAGGGGAGAGAAGGTGTACTTTCGAGAGAGAGTTGACAAAACCCAGTGACCTGTTGGACTTATGACGGGGGGGGGTCAGCGAGGGACAGGGAGGTGACATGGTGTCTCTAACTCTGGGACCTGGTGGATGTGGCTGCCATTCTCCCCCCCGTCCCCCGCCCTTGCTGGGGAAGCCTTGGGAAAGAGCAGGTGTAAGGAGACGGTCTGTTTGTGGTGCAGACATCGGTCGTGGGGACGTCACACGGCCGGTTGGAAACAGGAGGCTGGAGTCTGGGGAGAGGCCGGTCTGGGGAGGGGATTCAGTGTTTGCAGCCTCTGGCACAGGGGACACAGGTTAGGTCGCCTGGGAGAGAGCAGCCCCTCCTCCGATTCAGGGCCCAAGAACAGGGGAGCAGAGCTGGGGCGCCAGGGCTGTCGTGGGTGAAGCCTGGTGGTTGGGCTGGTTCGTGGAGATGGGGACGGAGGAGGGGCCGCCACAGGTAGACACTTGTCATGAAGAGAGATGGGCTCAGGTGCACCCCTACTTATTCCTCAAGCCCCGGGTGTGGTTTGTGCATGTCGTCACGTGTGGGGTGCCTTGCCAGCTCCCCGCGGGACCATGTTCCTCTTTCGTGCCGTCAGCCCCGCATCAGCCAGCGCCCTGGACCTGGTGGGGACTCGACGTCACCAAGTGGTGGGTGACGCATGCTTGTGGGCATGTGCACGGCACCTGCGTGGGCACGTCTGTCAGGGAAAGTGAGGTCCCACCCCGAGCACCAGCGTCAGCTTCAGAGAGCTGGGAAGGGTGCCCTGGAATCTGCATTGCTGACCCTTGCCCTCTGACCTCCAGCCTCCGATCTGTTGGTCTGGGGGTCAAACTACCTTCCCAGAAAGCCGGCTGTTGGTTGGATTCACCTCTTCTCGGAGCCAGTGCAGGAAGCATGACTGTGCTCTGGAGAGTGACTGCAAGTTAGTTGCTCAAGGCTCCATTTTAAGAGCTTTTCTGCTCCAACCAGTTGGGCTTGAAGAGATCCGCGAAGTTAGGCCTCCTCCCGGTGCTGAGACCCTGTTCTCCCCACACTTCTTTCTGCAGTGGCCGCAATGGCCAACCAAAAACCCAGAGCTGCTGGGTCTGTGTGAATGAGCCAAGCTCCACTCTGTCCCTCCACTTACCCCTCCACCCACCAATTCATCTCATCTCATCTCAACTATTGCCCACCATCTGTTATCTATTGTCCATTATTATCTGTTATCTATTTTCTACCTATCTATCATCCATCCATCCATCTATTATCATCTATCTAGCCATCCATCCATCCATCCATCCATCCATCCATCCATCCAGATATCCATCCAACAAATATTTCCCGTACACCCACTATGTCCCAGGAGTTTGGCAAGAGCCATGCTTGATTTATTTCAGGACGGTGCAGACATTTCCTAACTATCTCATATGTCAGCCCTGTGTTGGGGGCTGGGGGTCCCCTCTGACCACTGGGTCTTGGTCCCTGTTCTTTAGTAAAATGTCAGTACCTAAGGCTGACCTGGGCTGTATTCTAGGAATGGTGTGTGTGTGTGTGTGTGTGTGTGTGTGTGTGTGTGTGTTGTATTTGTATCCCACCCCTCGGCCGGGCCTAGAGCCTCAGCTCAGAAAATGTGTCTAGAGGCACACATGCCAAGGCAAACAAGGAGTCAAGAAGGAAGAGGCCTAGAGATGATGGGAAGGAAGAGGGAGGGGGGAGGCTGAGTGGAGGGGGAGGAGGCACCGGGGGGAACAGGGAAAGGAGAACCGTCTCGGGCCCCAGAGCCCCAGTTCGGGGTGGGTGAGCACCATGGGCCTGTGGCCACCAGCTGTGCTGGGTCCGTGGCTCCCGCCCCCACCCCCTCCCCGACTGTGCTCCCTTGGCCTCCTGTGCCCCTGGCCTCTGCCCCCAGGGTGGAGGGTAGGTACGGGTTTTCTCCGAGGAGGGGGACAGCGCTTACCAAGAATACACGAAGCAGAGGAAGAAGGGGGCGGAGACCACCAACTGCAGGAGGGCCCAGTCACGCACACCGTAGGCCACCATGGCCATCAGGACTTGGCCAAAGCTGAAGCCCAGGGAGTTCAAAGTCATCGCCAAGGCTCGGGCACGCGTGGATGTCCACTCCATCACTGCAAGGAGACCGCAAGGGTCAGCCTGGGGAGCCCACACGAGCCTCCCTCACCTGGCCCGGGTCAGGTGACCTACGGAGAGTGCAGGTGTTCATCATGACGCCCGCCACAGCAAAGGCCACCAGGAAGCGGAACAGGCAGTACACGGGGAAGATGGGGGCGAAGGCGGCTGCCGTGCCTGCCATGGCCATCTGAAGGTAGTTCAAGGTCAGCACCAGCCTGCGACCAAACCTGCGGGCATAGAAACATGCAGGTGGTAGCCAGGTCCGCGAGGCACCACAGCACCAGCCACGGGGGTCTGAGCAGAGGTCACAGTGACTCCTGGGTCCGGACCCGAGTTATCCCCCAACGAAAGGCCTGTAGGCACAGGTGACTTCCCCGGGTAGAGAATGAGCTCCCTGTCGGCAGGAGCGCTCAGCGACAGCTGAAGGCACACTTTAGCAGTGAGCTTTTGGGAGATCGCCCCAGAGGGGAGCTGGTGAAACCGAGGCCCAGAGCGGGGACAGGGCTTGCTCAGTGGCAGAGCTGAAGGTGTCAGGAGTGAGACCACATGCAGGCGTCCCGATGGCCAGCAGAGCGCTTTCTCCCCGGACCCGGCTGCAAGAGGCCAGGGAGATAGGAGCACAGGGGCACGAGGGAAAAGGGGCTTCTAGAACCGGGGGTACTCACCTGTCGGAAGCTTGGCCGAACACGGCAGCCCCCACCAGGATCCCCGACAGATAGATGGACTGGGCCATGGGCTTCAGGGCGTGGGAATCACACACAAGGTCCCACTGGTGGGAGAGGAGGGGGAGCTGAGCCCAGACGCATGGGGGAGGTGGGGGGGATGGGAAGCCCCGAGGGAGCCAGGTGTGGGTGGATGGCCTGGTGACCTCTAAGGTGGTAGGGCAGGGCTAAGCCTCCTCTCGTCACCCTCTGGTCCGGGGTCAAGTTCTCCCTGGTGGCCCCTCCCACTTGGCCAGATTTGCCTGATGCCTCCCCCGGGGTCTGAGAACTGGCCTCCCGGTGGAGGGAGCTGCCTGAGTCACTCATCAGTGGTGGCAGGGCTGGCCCGGCAGTCGTGGACACCACCCACTCTTCCACGAGCCAGGAGCCAGTGTCTGTCTGTAAGCTGAGGCCCGCTGCCCACTCCCCTGTAGGGCCAGGTGCTGGAGGAAGGCACGAGTGGCGAGTGAGGAAGCCTCCAGATGCAGGTCCCTCCCAGGACCAGGCCATTTGGAGTCAAGTGTGAGCTCTGACCTTGGCCTCTAAAGTGCCAGGACGTGGGGGGCGGGTGTCAGCGGAGGCCCTTACCTTGGCCACGATGGTGGAGGTGAAGGTGCTGCGGTCGTAGACCCAGCCGTCCACGCACGGCTCCGTGGCGGCCTCGCTCCAGTTGGCGGCCGTGGCGTTGGGGTCCAGGAGCTGCCACTGTGGTTGGCGGAAGCGGCGGCACTGGTGGGGCTCGCGGTTGGGGCCCGGTGGGATGGAGACGGTCAGGAGGTCCTTGGGGTCCAGGGCCCCGGGGACACCGGCCTGGGCAGTGCCGTTGTCCAGGAGGGGTACCCAGCAGCGGTGGCTGGGCACGGCGGCCGAGAAGTTCTCCATCATGCTCTGAGTGGTGAGCCATATGATAGGGACCACCAAGGCCACCATCTGGAGAACCTGGAACCTGCCCAGGCCACCCACTTGGTCTAGGAGCTCAGAAAATGCCATGGGGCCTGCCGAGGGGGCCCCAGGGAGAAGCTGGCCCAGGGCCAAGGGGCCAAGGCCGGGGACCTACTTTCCCCACGGCAGCACCTGTTTCGTCAGCTGAGAAGCCTGGCACATGGCGGTGGCCGTCGGCCTCACTGCCCCTGGACCAGGGCTCTCCGGGCGCCCGCCTGGCAACTGTCACTCAGGGTGGCTCCAACGCCGACTGGGGACTGCGAAGCGTGACCCCTCAGCCACCAGCATCCTTCCAGGGACGCAGCTGGCCCTGGACCTCCAGGAGGAGCTGGATAAAGGAAGTGGGGAAAGTGGAGACTGGAGTCACCCAGACTGGAATTAAACACTGACCAGGTGACACTTACGGAATAGGAGTTAAGCACTGGTCAAAGTTTAACCCAACTCTGACAGGGGCCCAAAGGCAAGAGCGCCGCTGTCCTGCCCACACCCAGGCTTTGATAGGTATGAGGCTTGGTGCTGCTGCCGCCTCCTCTCCACGCCCCTGCCTGCCTCGAAGGGAGGGGAGGTGCTGGATGGGGACCTTACTGATCCTGGGAATGGCGTGAGCTGGAGCGACATCCTGTGGGCTGCGGGGACCTGTGTGTGTGTGTGTGTGTGTTTGTGTGTGTGTGTGTGTGTGTGTGTGTGTGTGTCTCAGGTTGTGGGCAGCCATCTGAGCCCACCCCTCCCAGCCTGTGTGGCCCGACAGCCCCCTGTTGTCTGCTGCCATTGACGCCCTCAAACTTCTTTTGCTGTCACCCTCTCTGAGCCCTTGCAAGTTCTCCCCAATGTCACCAGACACGTGTGTGTGATGTGTGGCAAGTACGGAACGGGCAAGGGAACAATGACAGTGACCTAGCCATTTCTTCTGTGCTTTGGGCCACAAGGCCACCCATTCTAGGGCTAACTTGCTTCCCACTGCTTTTTATCTTGCCTATTCGCCCTCTGCCCATCCACTGGCCTCTGTGCGCCCCGCCCCGAGCATGCCCTGTCCCGCCTCCACGGGCTCTTGTCCTGGCTGCTGCTCCCAGCCTGGAATGCTATCCATGGGCTCACCCCAGAGCCACATCCTGCAGCACCACAGGGACCTCCTCCTCCAGGAAGCTCTGCTTGCTTATTCTTGCCTCCCTCCTGGGCCCTAAGTTAGGAGCAGAGCCCCATCTTCGCACTGGCCCCCACCCTTCTATACTTGTCCAGCTGGTCTCATTCCCAGCCAGTTCCTGGAGGGCAGGGACCCTTCTTTGGAACATCTTTGGAAATAGCATGGATTCAGACAGTTAATGCAACCTCTGTAAAGATATGCTGCGGTTGGTTTTAAAAGCAGCTTCTGTTTCTTTCTGATTTTAAAGTTAATGTACAGGGGCGCCTGGGTGGCTCAGTCGGTTAAGCGTCTGACTTCAGCTCCAGTCACAGTCTCACGGTTTGTGAGTTTGAGCCCCACATCGGGCTCTGTGGTGACAGCTCAAAGCCTGGAGCCTGCTTCGGATTCTGTGTCTCCCTCTCTCTGTGCCTCTGCCCTGCTCTCTGTCTCTCAAAAATGAATAAATGTAAAAAAAAAAGTTGGAAAAAAAATAAAATTAATGTACACACCTTTCAGAAACTTCAGAACGTATCAAAATGTACAAAGAAAGCAAAGAAGATCCCTCCCAAACTCACCAACTTGGAATCACCATCTTTGACATTTTGGTGTAAATACTTCTAGAGCCTTGTGCTGGCATGTTTGGCTTCCTCGTTCTGGGCTGCAAGCCAAGCTTAACGCCTCCTTTTGTAAAACCCAAGCAAAAAGCCTCTGACTTTAGCCAGTGATTTTAGCCTATTCACATTTATTGGAATCACTGTCACGTTTGGACTCGTGGTATGTTTTCTCCTTTGCCAGATTTCCCCATTCGTCCCCTTTGTTTCCTTTTTCCTCTTTTCGACAGAACCCGCTGGGCTTTCTTGCTCTGTTTTTTTCTTCTGTCCTGATTTGGCAGCGGCACACTGTATTTCTGTTAGCATTATATTTGAACTTGCACTCGAGGAGCCATTTTGCGCCACCTCCTCTCTTCGGACAGCTCCCTCTTCCATCGTCTCGCAAAAGACGCCCTTTCTTCTTATTGCACTGCGGAAACGGAAGTCAGAAGCCAACCACCTCATCCTCTGACTGCCTTGGTGCCCCCACATCCTGCCTTTCTTCCCACCAGCCCGATGGCCCACGTGCTCCCCCTCATCCTGACCCCCTCGCCGTGCACCCTGCAGCCCACCTCTCCACCTGCCCAAAGTCTCTTTGCCAACTTTCTTCCCACTGGATAGTTCCCACCAATGTACAAATACGCCATTTTCCCGGGCACCTTGCTCAGTCGGAGAAGCATGCGACTCTTGATCTCAGGGTTGTGATTTTGAGCCCCACGTTGGGGGTAGAAGTTACTTAAAAAAAGAAATTAAATAAAAGTTAAGACAATCCCCCACAAATCTGCCATTTTCCCTCCCATCCTCAGAGAAGCCCTCCTCCCCTTTAATACCTGTCTTCAGCCACCATCTCCTTTTCTGCTACTATTTAGGTACAGCCCACAAAAGCATTATTGACATTGGCCTCCAATTCCTCCTTCTTTTTTGGATTGATTCCCATCAGGTTTTGTCCCTGTCATGTCCTGGTCCCCAGCGACCTCACTGCTGCTGCATTCAGTGACATTTTCAGGGCTCCTCTTACTTGAGCCAGCTCAGCCGCTGGCCCTTCTCCCCCTGGGCGCACCCGCCGCACACACTTCTGTCTCCTTTGCTGGTTCCGTCTCTTCTCCCCACACTCCCCGTTCTTGGTGCTCTTCTTAAAATTTTTGTAACATTTATTATTTTTTTTAATTTTTAATTTTATTTTTGAGAGAGACAGAACACAAACGGGAGGGGCAGAGAGAGAGGGAGACACAGAATCTGAAGCAGGCTCCAGGCTCCGAGCTGTCAGCACAGAGCCCGACGCAGGGCTCGAACCCACACACCAGCCATGAGATCATGACCTGAGCTGGAGTTGGACACTCAACCGACTGAGCCACCCAGGCACCCCTTCCCCTTCTTTATCGTTGACACAATTTGCATCTTCAAAGGCTTTTCTCTTTCAGCACAGAGCCCGACGCAGGGCTCGAACCCACACACCAGCCATGAGATCATGACCTGAGCTGGAGTTGGACACTCAACCGACTGAGCCACCCAGGCACCCCTTCCCCTTCTTTATCGTTGACACAATTTGCATCTTCAAAGGCTTTTCTCTTCTTTTTTATTAAAAAAATTTTTTTTAATGTTTACGTTTGAGAGAGAGAGAGAGACAAAGTGTGAACCAGGAGGGGCAGAGAGAGAGGGAGACACAGAATCTGAAACAGGCTCCAGGCTCCAAGCTGTCAGCACAGAGCCCGACACGGGGCTCGAACTCACAAACCATGAGATCATGAACTGAGCTGAAGTCGGACGTTTATCCAACTGAGCCACTCAGGTGCCCCTTCAAAGGCTCCTCCTTTAATCCACCACCTAAACTTGGGGGCCTCCTGGACCAACTTTCTAGGCCCCAGGTGGCGCCACTTCCTACGGCGGGGGGGGGGGGGGGGGGGGGGGGGGGGGGGGGGGGGAGAGGGGAGGAACCAAGGTGGCAGACGGCAGGGAGTCCTGGGAAAACTTGGCAGAAGCCGGCAAAGGGTAAGAATTCTTACCAGTCATCTCTTGGGTCTCTGCAGAGCCCTGTTGAAAAGGAACATAAAATTTCACACTGTCCCTTCCTTTCTAAATCTAGACTCTTCTGAATTCAGGTTCCCGTTCGCTGTGGATCCTTCCCCTCCCAGGGACAGCTATCGCCTTCCCTTTGGTCCAGTCTCTTGGCCTGAGAACTTGGCTTGACTTCCCGTCTCCACGGGGCACGCAGGTTATCAGTTCTCGCACATGCAGACAGCTCGACCATCGGGTCGGGGGGCCCAAAATATGGTGGGACAGAAGTGCGAGTTGCACCCCCTTTGCAGCTAGGGTCCCCTTGCCTGGTGCCAGCTCTTGGGGCATTTGTCTACGACCTCTTCCTGTCGGCCATCTTTGGGAGTGGCTCTGGATTTGGGAGGACGTCTCACGTCCCTGGAGCAGGTTGGTACCGCCAGGAATATTTACTGTGTGTCCCCCCCTGAAACTTATCAAGATATCTGAAAGGATTAAAAAGCAGCTCTACGGTCAGAAATTGGTCAGATTGGAAGCTGATGTTCAGAGCCGGCTAGGAGTGTTTTACGAGGCCTTCTCCCCTAAGCTTAAATGAAACTACGCACCCAGAGAGAACAAAAAGCATTTCCAAAGACAAACAGCTCTGAATTTAGAACATAGGAATCTTTTGATTTCCATCTCAGCCGAGGATCTTCTCCCTGATACAAAGGGAAGCGAATGAAGATAATGTAGCTGGACGGGTGGGTCAGTCCCCTGATACCATTAGGGCTGAGAGGGGGAGCTCACCTGGGGAGCGACCTTTCGCAGCAAAAAGATGAGGTTTGAAATGGAACCCTGGGTCTCCCAAATTGTCGAGGGCAGGAAGAAGAGAATCTGGCAAAAGTGGGTGGTTTAGATGACGGTGGGCGAAGAGAGGGTCACAGAGCAGAGGGCGAGGCAATGGGACAGAAGACAGGGGACACCGTGTGGCGGGAAGGCTGTCGTTCGTGCCCTGCGCAGGGCCGGCCTTGGTGAGTGTCAGGTGTTAGGTGACTGCCTGGCATCTGAAAATGAGCACAGGCAAGCCGGTCGCCAACATGGGTTTTTCTTGGCCCCGGAGGTGCGCCGCGGCCATCTTTCTGGCCTGATCGTTCGGCAGGGTTTTTTTTTTTTTTTTTTTTTGCGATTCCTCCCAACCCCCGATGTCCTGTGGCGACAGCAGCTGCCTCTGGTCCCAGGCCAGGCAGGAGAAAGGGCAGGCCGGACTGCTTACTGTCAGTGACTCAGCAAATTCCCCAGGCGGCTAGCAGGCCTGGCGGAATCCAGGCGGGTGGCTGGAGGAGGTGGCGGCAGCCAGAACCAGCTGG